TGGGCAGAACTATCAACATATATACAAGCAATGCCAGTACAAGCTCAGTATGCTGCAAGTTCTTGTATTTCTGGTTTGCAAATAAAAATGCAGAGTATTCTATTCACATTAGTAATATGATTCAAGTCCAGAGAGTACGACTTAATGTGAAACAAGCTTGTCAGTACATTCTACATCCTTTTTAAGTGTATAGAAAATAAAGTCGATAAAGTCTCCTTAAAGCTGCAAGCGATTACCACACAGAAAGAAATTACAGTTGTAGCTACATCACTTATCATCCCATTTGTTGTATTCACCTGCTGTTTTTGAAGTATGTACACAATAGTGTTTGATGTTTAATGACTGAAGAACCATTTATAGGATGTCTCAAGTGGGTGTATTAAGAGGTGGTGAAAGAATTTTATTTAAAAACATATAAATGTCCTTTCAAGTAAGATTTTATTTAAATATAAGTGACTGCAGTGAGTAAGACACTTACATGTCAGTGTGGTTGATTACTTCCATTTAGCCTGCATAACACCATTAGCACCATCATGTCCTGTCTGATCTAGCTGAACAAGATTACATAACTTCATGTGCAGTCTGATAGGCTGACCTCTGATACCCATACAAGCACAAAGCAGATTAATATAATAAAGATGCATCAGCACAAGCTTTTTGCCGGAGTCCTTGGGCTATGTGTCGGCTCAGCGCAGTGGAGAGCCACCCTGTAACCCGGGCTCAGCTGTCCACTACTAGATGGTTGATGCTGGGAGCCAGCTAAGAGCCTACCTAGTGGCCACTGAAACATAAACATGAAGTGGTCTGTTGGTTATAAAAAACATCTTCAGACAGTCAATTAAAAAGTCTTTTTCATTACACCTGCCCATCTGTTAACAGAGCACAAACTGATGGAATGGCAGGCTATTCAATTTTACTGTGAAATTAACAGCGATCTCTCAGTGAGCGCTTTTTCTGGAAGTAAATTATTTTGCTTCTTCTATGGATATGATGCAGTTTTTTATGGCTAAGATCTCCAGAGAGCAATTTGTAGATCTTTAAGAGTGGAAACCTTTAAAATAAAATAAAAAGATGTGCATAGAGAACGCCATTAACCTAACTGAGTCTACTGCAACCTACCTGACAGCCAGTGTAATCACAGTCTTTCTTTTCTGCTCGATGGTGGAGAACCTTTTTTTCTTAAATCATGAATATTCATTGCGCATTAACTACTCACATCAGTATTCTACAAGCATTTTAAAGCCGTGTTTCTAAAAAAGCCTTTATGTAAATCAGTGGTTATCTACAAGCAATCTGAACCAAAGGACTAGAACAAGGTCAGTGCATGTGATGGAAAAAGTGCTTCTCCTTATCATTCTGCAACAAGGTCAGTACATCGTGAACTGACCAAACATGATAACCCAGTGACTGTTGCATGAATAACTAGCATTTGGAATCACATACTGTGGTGAATTCTGGTCAGTCTCTGCAACGAGAGAGAAAATGACATAATAAATTGACCACTTTACTGTCAGACAGCATCAGAGACCATGTGGGTGTGTGTGCACCTTCATCACCTTGCCGCCTCCCAAGTCAACAAACAACAAGCTTTTTAAACTCATGACCCATAACCTGCTCCTCATTACTGTCCAAACCAAATAGGCTTGCTACAGAGTCAGGTAGTTCAGTAATGGCAATACAATTTGTACCGATATAAAAAATGATTAGTCCTACATCGTCCACATTATTACAACGTATCATGGCAATGCTTGCTCATTCTCTTGCCCCTGATGTCTTTCTAAAAAACACACAATAAGCAAGGATAATTCACTTTCACCTCATGGATTATGTTGGTTTGATTTACTGCCTGTAGCGTTATCTCAGCTTAGTGGAATGTCGTTGGAGTTGTACGGTCACTCATCCTGAAAGAATTTACAGTACATATGGGGGAAGCCTTCAGGACTATACCTCTTAAAGGTTTCTATCTTGGCTCAAAACTCCCAACGCATGCAATCTGTTTTGGGGATGAACATGTCAATAGTTACGACCCCCCTAAAGCACGACCGGGGAAAGTGAGTGAGGCGTACTTCTTGCTTAGCCTCTGATAATTTAAAGACTTTTCTCCACACCAGCTTGTCTTAATTACTGATAATAAGTGGCAGCATTTGGTCAGGTTTATGGGTCTTCTTCAAAGAGCAGGCTTGGCTTAGTCAGAACAGTCTTTGGGACTGCAAAGCTGTAAATCCAAAACTGAGCAACTATTACCACTAACAATGCCCTGGGTAAATGCAGGCAGCCTAATAGGGATGGATGGAAAATGGAAAAGTGGCAAAATACCAAAGAAAGGAAGAAACATATGCAATTGTCTGAGAGATTTGGATTGGCATTTGCAGAATTTAAGTGTCTTTTAAGGTCCTTTAAAGTGTAATGTAGTGGAAAAAGAGAACTACTGTAAGTTATAAGTACTCTGATTTTGAAGTCTGAAATGAGAGACCACTTTGCACAGTTCTGAAACTGCAATGTAACAAGACGATAATGGAAACAAAGACATAAGACATGAAGAAAGGTAGTGATATCAAATAGACTGAGAATTAGAGTGAATTGGGGCTGATTCTGAATAAAACCTCCTCCAAAGAGAAGCATGTATAGTTCCAGTGCACAGGGTCAGTACTGGGTTGGGGTGAGGAGATGGGGTGATTCCTGACTTTTCAATGAACTCATTTCTATTCTCATACAACACCCAGCTCTCTGCTAATGATAAGAGCCCTGAGGCAAAGTCGGCTGGGATACACAGGGCTGTCTGTGCTCAGCAGCAGCCCAGGCCAACTGTTTCCACTCAGACGCCGACTTCCTCAGAGCCGCGAGGTACAGTCTGGGCTGACAGGCTCTCGAGTGATTTGACAAAAGGTTTTAACCGTCTACCACATCACTACAGGCTGAAGTTGAACTGAATACTAAATATAAAAGAAACTGTTCTCTACATTTATAGTTGTCACAATCATGCATAGTAGCACATTTGATTAGATTTTCCTGTACAGTAAACTGAAAGCAGAAATCATCTTAAGAATGTAACTTGAAATACAGTGACCAGCTGTCCGTGCCAGTCAGCCAAATCAACCTCTTGTGCTTTTAATCAAAACAGAATAACAGGGAGGAGGCAAGAGCTTATTGCACAGCAGGTTTAAGTCTACATACATCTAGAGTATATGATTCAACAGGGCATCACACTGAGCAGAAGGCCCTCCTGCTACTAGAGTAATTAACCACTCTGGACTGGCACTCTCTTTTCATCTGACTTACCATATATCAAATTCATCGTTTTGACAAATTTGTCCATTTGCTATTGCTGATTCAAGTTTGCAGAGACAACTGAGTTTGCATTAACAGGAGCATGCCCCAGATTGGACCTGTTTCAAGACAGGACTAAACCGCAAAAGGTAATTGTGACAGAGATTAATTAAACTTTTATTCTCAAAACAGCATGTTTGGGAGACTGTATTAGAGATGGTATTGTAACATTAGGGGCGGACAGACACTTGGCGGGATCCCCCATAAGTTGTAGGTTTAGCGCGACTGAGTAATGTTGGTGGGTGGATCGATCTAAAGTATCAATAGTATCGATACCAATGTTGGTAAGGGTATTGATCAATACTTGCGTGATGAGATTGATACTTAAGTTTCTTTTCTCTACATTCAGTACACAACTCCCGCTACACCATAGTGGTGATGCAAACACAACTCCTCTCACTTTGCTCATGCTCACTTTGCCTCTCTCCCGCTATGCTGCGAGTTGTTGTCGGTGTGCAGTTATGGCTCAACAACGCTCTGCTGGCTGCATGATGGCAGAGGGGAAGATGAGTTTCTTTGGAGCTATTTTACAGGGCAGGACAGTTAGTAACTCAGAGAAGAAGTGCAATAAAAGGGAAAAATGTAAACATGTTATTGTTTCTGAACAAAAACCTATAAATCTGTAGTTCTCAACATGGGCACAGGGCCCAAAAGGGGACCTCAGTCAGAGGTCGTGAATGAGAACCAGTAGTAGTTTTTGCTTTTGTTTAGTTATTTGCACTATTGACTTTATTTTTCACAAACAATTGTTTGTAATGCAAGCACATTTTTTATCATATTTTATATTGATATTGTTATATTTATATAGTTATATTGTTTCTGAACAAAAAACTGAACAAAAAATCTTAACTGAAAAAGTAAAATTTAAAACATTTTGAATTAGTTAAAAACATTTATTTGCCTAAAATCTTTATCCTGCTTTATTATGATCATAATCATGATCAACTAATTGAAAATTGAAAAATCACAAAATCATTCAAAGATCACGAAAATTCTAATTTTCATCCAAATGTGCATAATTTGCATATTCCATTTACTTCGTAAATTATGACCTATTGCTCCGCCCTACACAAAAGTAGATAAGCTGTTTTTCTAGGTGAAAAAGTATCGATATCGGCAAATACTGGCCCTGTATTTACCTGGTATCGTATCGATACCAAAATTTGGGCTATCACAAACCCCTACCGAGTACGCTCAGTGTGCGCAATGAAAACACGACTTGCAAGAGCGCAGAACAATGCTAGCTGTTCCTCAGCTCCTTCTTCAACCCAGCCAATGTTACAGTATGTTTTTATATAAACCAAAAAACCCATTGTGTCATGTGTCAATTGGTCTGATGTTTAAAATGGCTACATAATATATCCATTGTTCAAGAAACAGGAAATTGTCGTGGTGATAAAACGCCAACCTACTAGTGCCTACACCTGGTGAAGCAGTCCAATTGTCTTCAACGGACAAGTTTTATATAAACTGAACGCTTCAATAGTCAGTACAAGCGCACACCTGTTTTCAATTAATTTCGCTGATTAGACAGACGCCCACGTTAAAAATCGGTTTTATCAATTCTTATATGCAACATATAGCCAAAGCCAGTCTACCATTATACTGTGTAAACACGCTATTGCGTCAGTTCAACCTAATCAATAACCAATATCTGACTGACCTTTACCTACCTTGTTTCTGAAGCTAACGCGATACAGTGGTGGTGAGAGGAATTATGTTGGTGTGTTGAAATGCTGAACTTTCAAAACTCAACTGCGACACTTCCTGTCTGAAATAATGGCTCCATTACTCCGAAAAACCCACAAGCGACGCTGTGAGCAGTATCCGTTTTTACAGCTACTTCCTGGGAAGAAAGTAAACGAAACAGTGCGTATTATTTATGGAAAGAGCGGCCTGCGCAAATTAGTTGACGCACAAACAAAACTTAATGTCCCAAGACAACTGAAGATTTAGAGACACAGCCATATGACTGATTTTTAACTTGATGTAGTCATGTCATCCTAAAGGTCACCCTTACATGGCCTACTGTTGTAAACTATAACTACAATTCGCCTGTTCTTCGGTGCAGTAGGGTGGAAACAAAGCAATCCCTTGAATATCAGAACTCAGGGACAACAATCCACTCTGAATCACAAGTAAGAAGAAACATTTTATTCACAGGTACTGTAAAACACAAGCTGCCATATCATACATTTATACAAAGGGTTGGAAAGTCCTATACAAAAACAAAGATATTCGAAAATATGGGTTTTGATATGAAATATGGCCTTACATATAATAATTTCTTGAAAAAAGGTCTTGGTTTGGTAATAGTTATTTAATTTATGAGCCATACCCCGCATTAGTGAAAACTGAAGTTATTGTAAAAAATCTGAATGGTAAAAATGGAGTAGAAATCATTCTTAAAAATGATTTTAAAAATCTCGTGCAGCATCTTCAGAGAGGGCCTGAGAGAGTACATCTTTGTAAAAGAAAAGAAAAACAAAATCATGTTTGTCATAGATATAGAAATCGAGCATACCAAAATCCAGGTTTGTTTGTCTTTATGATTTCCACTGATCATCTTTGTTCTCGCTGTGCTGGCTGTTTGATTCATAATAAGCACATTCTGGCAGCTACAAAGAACTGACATAATGATTGCTTAACAATGCCGTGATCATTTCTTCTTTTTCACAGGAAACAAATCTTGTGTCTTGGTTTGAAACAATTGATCAACTTTGTTCATTTGCCTTTAAAAAAAAAGAAGAGTAGGGGACGTAAGACACCAAACTGTGTTGTTGCCCTTAAGTCAGGATTGAGGTTCTTGCAGTAGTTGCAGTAAATGTATTGGAATGCATAGAGCTGAGGCTTGGTTGCGCTGAAAAAGTACTGTACCTGTGCCTCTTTGTCTCAGAGCCCCCAGTCCAGGCCTATTTGGAGAGAAATTAGGCTCATTGATGAGCACTGCTATCAGTGCAACCATCCATCATGATATCCACACAGGCCAGTGTAGGAAAAGTTAAGTCTCTCAGGGTCAAATAACCACATACTGAGGCACCAGAGAAAATGGCTGACTCACTATCCACAATAATGTCCCTCTGATTGATATGTTTTGGCTTAATCTCTCATTTTCAGTGAGATAAACATGGGCAAGCACAGCTTAAGTAAGCCCCCCATCCCCTAACATAACTGATGCTCTACCTTTGTGCATCCACTGAGACCCATTTTGATCAAGGCAACTGGAGGGGGGGGGAAATTTTTCACTCAACCCTGCAAGCTTTCACAGACCAGCTGGCAGGCAACGAGTGACAACAGCAAATGTAGTCCTTGATGAGATATTAGAGTCCAGTTTTAAAATCTAGAAAACTACAGAGTTAAAATAAGGCGCAAGAGGCTGAATGAATATGGATAAAATGTCGACTGAGGTTTGAAACAAGAGAAAAGGCAAAGTCTGGGAGCGCAATAACATTAGCTTATTGCTTTTTTCTTTTCTTTCCCTCTTTATTTTTTTCCCCTTAAAACGATATTTGTACACAGCACATAATCATATAAATACACTATACAATGCAATATAAAATATTTTTCTTAAAAGCAATATGTTCAGGGTTTGCTTGGGTATGCTTAAGATACCCACACCATATGAAAAATAATGACTCAAAACAAAAACAATAAAAAAAGGCACTTCCAGGTGTTGTTCATTGACTCTTGAATAAGTGATGGCCACTGCCGTGCCACACAGGCAACCGCATTTGTGCTCACATTTCACTTCTCTGCCATTAAAACCATGTCCTAGACAACGAGGCAGCTAGGTGGTTAAGATTTCTATTGTTCATGCAAACATCCACTCTCATCTCTGTCTCTTGTTGTTCTTCATTCCAGCTGTATCTGTAAACCGGCTTGCTACATTTCACCATCCTTCTTCCTTGTCTCTTCCTCATTTCTTCACCTCGACTTGCTTTTTGCCCTCAGACTTCAACTTCACGCAATCCCTCCTGAGTGCCACATGTGGGCATGCTGATGTCAAAGCAGGTCACCATCATGACACGGGACTTGCAGAGATTGACACAGAACTCCAGCTCCTCTGTGGCCTGTGCCAAGGCTTCTAGGTACTCTGGAGACTCTTTATCCAAATTCTGGTCTACCTCAACTGTTGAAAAAGGGACATTGAGGTTTGGTTAAATGGTTTGTTACCAGCTTTCCCCTTTAAAGATTGGACATGGCCTAACACTAAAGAACTCTATAGCAGTTACTTACACTCTCCTATCCACTTGCTGGGATCCATCATCAGCCGAGCCTTGGTGTCTTCCAGCTCCTCCATCAATACTTCATGCTTTGCTCTTAATTCCTTCACTTGCTGTTGCCTTCTCTCCAGCATCTTCAGTTTACTATTAAAATACAGCAGGCCCTAAGAGATAAAGGGAGACTATTATATCCAGCGACTACTTTGTTGATTCAACCACTCGGTTTTAAAATGTATTGTTAAAAGTGAAATGAAGACAAAATGGCTAATATATCCTTAGTAGATGTCATGGTTTATAACCTAAATGATTCACTGGGACTGGCTTTTTAATGTAGCCATATGCAATCAAATAAAGACTTAAAAGTAATTTTGAAAAGTCTAAAAAGTTGTGCTGAACTGCAAATGTGCAAATTTTTCAGGCTTGTAAGCAATAAGGTTCCTCTGGTGTTGGGAAAATTATGGTTATGCAAATGCTGTAACACAGACTGTGCCACTTATTGTTAAGCCTAATTCACCATGAAAATTAGTTTACCTTGTCAACATCCTGGAATGGTTGCTGAAGATGAGATTGGGGAAAACAGAGTATTATATGAATAGCATATTCAGTATCTCAGTGTGTGAATAATGTATGAAAATACACACATGCTGCAGACAAGTTATTGATGTACAGTACATGCACCATACTCCAGCTGTAATTCTTAAATAGCAAGGGAGAGTCACGAAAAAGCAATTAATTACTTGTCATTCAGGCAGCGATGGCAGGAAGACAAATATTAAATATAGTTTTTCCTAACTAAAAGTTACTCAAACTACCATCTAGCTGATTTACTATCTTCTCTTAACAAACTCTCGTTAGGCTGTGCCAAACCTGTGGAAGCAGTTAATGATCCACAGAAGAGGAGTTGGCTATAAAAAGCCATCAGGCAGCCGGTGTTGAGTGCGAGCGATGAGCTGATTTGGGATGCCACATTCATCACATTTTTCCTGACCAGTCTTTTCACACCATCTTCTTTTTCATTCTTAACCCCCCCCCCCCCCAAC